CACCAAATTTGGGTCGTTGGATAGTTAGATAATATCGACTCATATCCTCAGTGTTGTTGGTTTCCAGCATGTTTGTAAACTTCCGTATAATATTCGTGTCATAGGTATGTATTTTTCAATAAAACTTTTTGTTTTTCGTACGCATATTAATAATCTATTAAATTGCACATTTTTTAAAATTCTAATGTATGATACACTATTTGTGAGATTCCACATCGTCCAGAGGAGTGATCCTTATATGTATATTCCCATCTCTACCTAGCACGAGGCATTTTGGGAGCTCACTAGCTTCGGGTTTCATAGGAACTCCGAAGTCAAGCGAGTAGCATACGAGAGCAATCCCATGATGTGTGACCCACTGGGAAGTTCTCATATGAGTTCCCAGAAACAAAATCGTGAGGTCGTGATTGGGGCCTAAAGTGGACAATATCGTGCTATGGTGGAGTCAAGCTCGGAATATGGTGGGGGCCCGGGCGGGATGTGACACTATTATACACATAAAAACGCACTTTTTACGTTTAAAACATATCATTTTCAAGTATTTTTAATAATACAAACAAAATTCACGCATTCTATTTATATTTTAACATATTATGAATAAATATAATATAAATATTAAAATTTAAGAATTATGGCCCATTAAGTGATAATCATATGTCGTCATGTAGAAGGACGAAATAGTTTTTACTCCCAAAAAATTAAGAACATTCTTTATTATTAAGAACAAAAAAAAAAAAAAAAAAAATTCCAACATACAATTCCATTCCCAACCCAAACATTGAAGCTCAGGAAAAAAAAAAAAAGTAGGAATAGACGAAAGTAGGAATAGACGACCAAAATCACTCACACCAAAGTAGGAATAGACGACGAAGAGATGGGTATTTTTTTTCGGGGCTTTTAAACTTTAATCCTTTAAGAATATTGAAATTTAAAATAAATTTGGTGTTAGATTACATATTCCTTTAAGAATATTGAAATTTAAAATAAATTTCGGGGTTTTTTAACTTTATTTCCTTGGAACTTGCACAATTCGTGGTATAAATGGGATACAAAACCCTTGCCGGTGTCTACACGCCTAAAACTCAAAAACACATCGTACTTCCATCGAGGAGCTGATTCGAGAGAAAGAAGTGGGGCAGAGGCTCTTTGGGTGCTCATCGCCATTGCAAAGAAAATGAAAAGTGAACGAAAAACCACGATCAAAATACTCACACAAAAGTATGAGCAGACCAAAAGAGAGGTTTTGGGGGAAGGAAATAATGGAAGAGAGAAAGAGTGAAAGTCGTGGGGAAGCCAAGTGAGATACTACGAATCAATCCAACAAGAAAGCAAGAGACCGAGAAGCGGACTTTATTGGATGAGGATCCCATTGAGATCCAAATGGTAGGGATTCTAGAAACCCTCACATTCTAACCATTCATCGTATATTGTACAATTAATTTTTTTAAAATACTATTTGTATATAATTTTAAATAATAAAATTTATATAATTTATGACCGTATGATTTATGATAAACAGTTAAGATGTGAGAATCCTTAGATCTCAACCATTTGGATCCGAACGGGATCCGAAGGACCAAATCCATTATTGACAGGTAAATTGCACAAATAGATTGAGAAAAGTAAGTGTGAACAGGCAGCGCTCTACTTACTCCTACTCCTGCTCCTAAATTGGACCAAAAACCAATTTTTCATTTTCTAGAGAGGATGAGGATCTTTTTTGGATTTTTTTCGGAGTTTTAGAGATTCTCATATTATAGTTGTTTATTGATATTGTGTGATCAAATTTTCATTAAGTACTATTTATGTTTAATTTTAAATAAAAATGTCAAAATAATTTGTGATATATAATGAACGGTTAGAATGTGAGAATTTTTAGTATTTTCACAATTGGATTCCGATGAAATCCAAATCCTTCTGGGGCCTCCATGCATTTTAGACGCGGTTTCCAACTACTTGATGGACACTTTCCAAGTACTTGTTGGATGCTTTCCAACCACTTGCTTAGTAAGACTGCAGCGATTTCTGATTAGTTAGATTAATTTAAAGTGAATATGACCCATGAAATAATGAAGAGAAATTAGTTGAGGTTGAGGCATATCATCAAGGATTATTAACTCTTAAATGTTAATTAACAAATCAACGCTAGTAGTTATTTTTAGATTAGATTCAAAACAAGTAGCTTTTAAATTTTAATTAACACCAAATAATTAACTAAATTCTAAAAAGGAAAGAACATTTCCTCCACAAACAAAAAAAAAAAAAAAAGGAAAAAACCTAAGCTCTTTAATTCTCATTCATCTTTTAGATCAAATTTAGGTATCGAGAGACACTTGTATTGACAAAGTCTAACCTGTTTATTCTTTTCTTTGATGGGAGATATTCGTTTGTAATTCTACGCTTGTGTGAATTTTTTTTTCCTCACTTCATCATTCTATCTATAGATAAAATAAGTAACACGGAGTAATTAACAGAGGTAAGATAACAACAACAATAACAAGTGTAGTATAGTGTAGTAGTACCAAAACTAACAATTTATGCAAGAAAAAGAAAACTATATTTCCACTAAAAACAAAACAAGAGATGGAAATTGCACCAAAAAGTCAGGATTGGTGGCTTACTCTTCTCATTCAGTCGGTTATGATGGGATTTTTCTTTTTCCCACTAAAAACAAAACAAGAGATGGTACCAAAAAGTCAGGATTGGTGGCTTACCCCATTTTTTCAAATACCTCGACGGTTTCTAACCACTTGCTTGGTAAGACTGCAGCGGTTTTTTACTTGTGGAATTAATTTAAAGTGAAAATGACCAATGAAATAATTGAGAAAAATTGGTTGAGGCTGAGGTATTATCACGGGTTAACTTTTAAATGTTAATTATTTAATACTATCTAAATAAAATGTTTTAAGTTTGATTCTGGCCGAAAAAGAATTTGATCCATATTATTATTAGTCCATTGTGAGGCTAAGCGCACTCATGTAGTCAATTGAGAATTTGAGGGTTTTTAATGTTTTTAATGAATCTAAGGGTATTCAATCATGATTTTAAGTGATTTTCTGAAATTTAACGTGTATTCAATCAAAATTTTAAGATAATATTAAAATCCTTAAAAATATTTGTATTCAATTAAGATTTCAAAGAAGTTTATAGCATTCTAGGTGTATTCGATTATGAATTTATTTTAAAGAATTTTAAAACATTAAGGAATTTGAGGGAATTTGAGAGCTTTCGTATTACAATTTATGCATCACAAATCTCACCTCTTCCCTTGAGATTTTGAGATAGTTGAATCAAAAAATTTCATGGAATCTATACAAATAAATTAAACTCCTGTAAACTTCATGGATTTATAAATCCATTAATATCTCTAAAATATACACCCCTAAATTTGTAGACAAAGTTTTGGAAACTAAAGAACATAGAAGTCGATGATTGGTTTATTAGTTAACGTTGATAAACATGCTTATTTACATTAGTGACACATCAATTAGTGTGTAAATTTAGTATATGAATTTAGTCTCCATTGCATTACCCTTATGAAATATATGTCGTGGCTTTGGAAATTTTTTTTTTTTTTTCAATCCATAAAAAAAGCATTGTTAAATTCAAAATTATGTGAAAGAATAGTGTCAAAAAACTAAGAATAAGACGTGGAGAAGACATAATTGGAACAGAAAACCCTCGGCCTGGTTTTATTAGCTTTCCCAAAGAAGATTATGTCTCTTTTCGCCAATCCTCTCTTTTAATTATTTGGACAATCAAATAATATTTAAATTGCATAATCAAACCAAGAAAGTAAAGAAACGATAAATTATTTGATCAGTCGAGAAAGAAAGTATCTCTATAAATAAATAAACAGTTGTTTACAGAGCCAAAACAAAGACTAAACAAAAACTGAGTAATCCACAAGAAAGAGCTGAACTTGGCCAACAACCAAATGAAAGGACAAAACTTGACAACCAAAAACAAGTGAAAGAAGACTGGACTTAATAGTTACGAAATTTCAAGGAAGCTCACTCTTGATGTGTTTGTGAGAATTAATTTAAACTAAATAGTATCAATGAACAGTTTTCAATCCCCTTATATATAACAAAAATAAATAAATAATCATGTAACAAGCACATGTTCGTGAGTGAAAAGTTTGAATATGAGTTGATGATTACTTGTAAATTACTGAATACAGTAGGCAAAATTACTAGCATCATTCGTATACCAAAAATTATCATTGGATATTCACAATGCTAAAATATTTTATGAGAAATTTTATTTCAACCAATATAACTTCACACCAAAATCACTCACACCAAAGTAGGAATAGACGACAAAGAGATGGGTATTTTTTTTTCGGGGTTTTTTAACTTTAATCCTTTAAGAATATTGAAATTTAAAATAAATTTCGGGGTTTTTTAACTTTAATTCCTTGGAACTTGCACTATTCGTGGTATAAATGGGATACAAAACCCTTGCAGGTGTCTACACCCCTAAAACTCAAAAACACATCGTACTTCCATCGAGGAGCTGATTCGAGAGAAAGAAGAGGTGCAGAGGCTCTTTGGGTGCTCATCACCATTGCAAAGCAAATGAAAAGTGAACGAAAAACCACGACGAAAATACTCACACAAAAGTAGGTGCATACCAAAAGAGAGGTTTTGGGGAAAGGAAATAATGGAACTGGAAGAGAAAAAGAAATAAAGTTGTAGGGAAGCCAAGTGGGACAATACGAATCGATCCAACAAGAAAACCACAAAATGAACACCAACAGACTTAATTGACAAGGAAATTGCAGAAACAGATTGAAAAAAGTCAGTGTGAACAGGCTGCGTTATATTTAGGAGCAAAAATAATTATTCTTTTTTTAGGGCCCCATTTATTCTGGACGGTTTCCAACTACTTGCTGGACGGCTTCCAATCACGTTATACATGTTATACATGTCTCTTTCAAGATTTTTCACACTTCGGTCTGTTTATTGTTGGGACCCACTACTTTTCTATGCTTTATCTTTTTTCAAAGCTACAAGCTTCTTCTTTATTGATTTGACGGTAGAAGGAGTAATTTCTTCACTCTTCCGAGTTACTCAAATTACCCAAATAAGAACTCCTTTCGTGTTTGTCATTGAAAAGATTATGAAAATACTTTCAGTTTGAATTCATAATCTGGAGAGCCACTATCTCGTGCACCACTAGCAGAACTATCACTAGGACTATTTGATGTCAAGTGCTTGCCATCCTGAAGTACCCGAAAACATGATAAGCAGGCAGTCATTCAACAGGTGTACTTATACATATCGAAATGTAAGAGAAACTTTCATACATCCAAAGTCTATGTGCGTGTGTGATTTCACCATATAAAGGTTGGAAGACTACAATAAAATCATATGAACTGAACTATAAGGTTGGATGACTCATTTAGAATATATATATATATATATATACACATATATATATATATATATTAAACATATAAAGTAATAAAAAATAAGATAAAAAAATGTCTATAAAAAAAAGCCAATCCAAAAATTACAAAGGGAAAGAAAAATATATATTAAATATGCAAAAACACTATGTCTATGCAAGGAGGAGTTTAATTTCTTTAAGAATCAAATACTAAAATTTAAATAAAAATAATAAAAGAATCTTATCATAGTATTTCAGCATTTCAAATTTAGCTCAAAATAGGAAACAATGCAAGACAAGAGAAAACATAAAATTTAACCACAAAAGAGGTTTCTAAGTAGGCATATTTACATCAAGGTAGAGGCCTCCATCACTCCATCCGTCAATTTTCGAACGCCCACCTCTGCCAGAGGAAATTAGTGATTTAAGGCCTGCAATCCACACTTGCGCCTCAACTTTGTCCTTGCAAATCTGGACGCAAATAACAGATTATCATAAATATTGTTATTATAAATAAAAATAGGAAACAATGTAAAGACAAATAATTTTGAGCTTCCACCACTAACCAGATCAAGAGACCGCTTTCCGTTATTGTATGGAAGAGAAAATGATAAATAGTCCTTTTCAGGACGTAAATATCGTTGAAAGACAGCCTGTAACAAATTTTGGAGCAAGATGAAATTAGAATAAGTATCACTAGAAGACTTAAATTTAAACTGCAGTAAATCTATGCCAATCATGTACTAAAAAATTATATCAAATTTCTCACAGTTCTTTGTCCAGGAACAATTCTTGTGACAGAAGCCAACTTCAAACTTCTTTTGATACTTGAAATCCAGATCAAAGTTGATTCGTCCTGAAATTATTAAATGCAGCAGTAAGTAGAAAATAGAAAGAATTTAAGCAGACAAAATTTGTGAATTAAAATACAATAAATATAATCACAAGCAAGAACCATAGAAGGCCATTGAAATGCTATCTACCACAGAAGGCCAGTGAAATGCTATCCCATTAGCAGTATTTTACAATGCATACATCAAAACACAAAGTAGCATGGTTATGCAGCAACGTAGCAGCACAACTAATGTCAACTGACATTTAACATATTCCAATACCTTACAAGGTGAAATGTATAGTCTATCAAACCTTCGTAGCTATTAATGATATGTTTCTCCAAGAACTATAGACCATATTTTGCCTTGACTGACCTCAAACTACACTACGAATAAGTTCTCAAATCTCTCATCCAAATTAAATATGCCATAGAATCTGGCAAACTGCCTACTGTACCCTTTGGTTCCAATCTGCCATATGGATCGGAACCTAAATTAACTCAGATTTCCCATTCAGTTATTAATTTAATTAGCAGAAGGGAAACTTGAGAAATTTTATCTTTTCCGTTATAAGCACAAATGGAAATTGTATGCTTGTGGGAGAAGAAAGAAATTACCTAATTGGCACTACATTACCACTGCTAAGCAGGAAATTCAATTAAATATGTTTCGTAGCATTCTTGACTTCATCCTTCTACAAATTTTACTGTCTGTTCATGCAGGAATTGCGGAATAAATTTTTTTATTTCAACCTTAATAATTGAGCACACCATGTTCTTTTTCTTCCATGGAGTGGACAAACCACCAATATTTTAAAAATAAAAAATAAATCCTAATAGAGAAGCTTTAGATACAAACTTACAGTAGAAAGTCTAAATGGACAAAACTTAGGCTTTCCCTTACGACCATATTTCAGTAGTTGAGCACCCTCCTTCAAAGCAATTATTGACTGAAAATCATTTAATCATTCAAAACCATGAGAAAGATATGAAGCGCGGATAAACGCTGTATGAACTAAACATAGGACCATATCAAATACTATTCTAATTATAACGTTACCCTGAACTCCATACCGCATATAGTAATGACTTTTTGACTTCCAACTCAAGAAGCATACCAACTTAGTTCTCATTCAGTTACAAGTTACAACCATCCAAAACATATCATAATTCATAACCATCCAAAACATATCATAATTCATAACCATCCAAAACATATCATAATTCATAACCATCCAAAACATATCTTAAGAGAATAAATCGCTAAATCCAAACTTTTAAGATATTAAGAAACCCTATGCGTCTTCTAAAGTTACTATAAAAACTGTTCCAAATAGAGCAGCAGGTTTTACACCCTGCGAAGAAAGTAAAATGTGGTTTCCATGCAATGCCATTTCCATTAGATCACTCAGTCGCAATAATCACTAGACATTTATCGTTCGAAGATGTCAGTACTTTACATATGCCTCGGAGCAAACCCAGTTGTCGATATGGAAAATGCACATGGGAAAAATACAAAATTAAAAAAGGTTCGAAACTTCGGCCCTGTTTGGTTCTGTAAAAGCACCCATACTACATCCATTGAGCCAAAAACGATGAACCCAGAAGTGATCCTCAAAACCAAAACCTTGAGAAGAATATGTTCCCACTAATTAAAGAGCTCTCCATCCAATTTCCACTTTTTAGAGGAGGAAAAAAACAAATCTTCTGCTTTTCTAAGTAATTAAACAGACAAATAATTAGGAATTTATTTCATTTTCTTTGTATTTTTTGATACATCTGCAAAAACTAAAAAGAGGCAAAGAGAATTTAGAGAGAAAGAGACCGACCTGGTCGATGTCACGGTTGGCATTCCCGTAGCTAACAAGATCTGCCATTCCATGTGACAGAAATTACCGTAACGCCACCACCCTCTCCGATCCCCCGCCGGAGCTCCGTTCATCATCTACCTTCCAACTGGCTCTCGCGCCTCCGTGCAATACCATCAACGGCCACGTCACCACCACCACAACCACCACTGCTCAGCTCTCTCTTTCTCTACACTACGCGGCGCAGATCTGCCGAAGCCCTAAGACCTCCAGTTCTGATCTTTGACTCCGAGCAAAGAAGAAACTGAGCTCGAAGCCGTGGACTGTTGGGAAGCTGGTTGCGGAGAGACCGACGGTGGGTTTAAAAACGAAAAGGGCCTCAGAGAGGAATTTAGGGAGTGAAAGAGAAAAGAGAAGGGACGAAAGGGCGTCGGAGAATGGGACGGGAGGGGAAGCGGACCGGACGAAGGAGCGAGGGAGGGAACAGAAGAGAGAGAAAATTTAGGGGGGGTGGAGTGGGGGCCGTGGGGCGTGTCCGAGTCTGTAAAAAGCAAACCTGTGAAAAATTGAGTACTACCGATCAAATAAATCAAACTCTCAAAATAAAATAAAATAAAATATGTATCTAGAATTTTAGAATTTGATGCAACTGAGTACGAACTTGTTGAAACTACATGACCAAGGTGGAAAGTTACTCAAAGTTTTTCTTTTTATAAACAAGGTTAAACAAGCCATTTAGATGTGTCCTCCTCGTATGTTGTTTTTAAAAACGTTTTGTTGTAAGATTAAGATTGCAGCAATCAGTTTCGATTTTCTTTTTTTTATATAAATAGTGTCGACCGGCCCTATAAGTATAACTTTTCTTTCTTTAAGGAGTTTTATTTGTTATTTTCCAAAGGTGCCATCGTTGAAAATTGGCGAGGTGTAATGTCTTCAGCCAAATTTGAACTGAATGTAATTGCAGTCTAAGTTTTGTGTTCCGTTTTTCGTTTTGTTTTACATAAATGTTTACGTAACTACTCATATACGTTATGATAGACTCAATTTCGAAAACACTTTATCATTATAAGATTGTGGTTATACTTTAGTGATGATTTTGGGTCCTTGTAAGAGTGCAAGTGATGCATCCTTTTCTTCCTTACGGGTGGTATTAGGTTTGACTTTGAGCGTTGTGAGAATAGCAGGATGACGATAATGGCCTTCATTAGGAGTGATGTGGCGAAAAGAGAAGCGACCAAGTTGTACGTTGGTCTACACACAAGCAGGACTGGAGAAGGGTAGAGAAGGTATTGTACAAGTGAAGGTGGGTTCAGAACTTCAGAGGGATTTGGTGGCGGTTGTAACGCCAAAGGTAGCAGATTTTGAACCCAAACGAGGAGAATGTAGGAGTTTGTGAATACCTACTATTGCACCAATGTTTCATAAATCCATATTAATTTGTGTGCACGAATGTCATTGATTTGTATTAAGGAAATACATGGACAAATATTCTATGCATTTTTAAGTGGAGAAGATCCAACAAAAAAACTCGACTCCTTTGTAAACATGAATATCAACTAGTAATGTGCATGTTAAAATATAATCATTCTTTACTTACTAAAGATAAAAGAATGACTGCATGAACTTGAATGTATAAACGAGTATATGGTTTGTTTGGGGTTCCTTTTTTGGGAAAAAAAAATACTAGGAAGTGTTTTCTATTAACTAAAAACACTTATAACTAAAGTTTGTTTGGTATTGTTTTTTCATTAAAAGCTATTTCACTTTAAAGTTAAACATTAAAAAAATGTCTAGTAAAAACAAAATATCTTGCTTATTTTAAAAGCAGTAGCCTCCAGACATTATCTTTGAAACCAGCATGCATGTTGCCTTTAAAAGTTACTTCCATAAAAAGTTGAGTTGAACCTTTAATATATATTTTCAATTCCTTAATACCCTTATTAATTAAAAAAATTATTTATCTTTTTTACTTGGTTTTATATTATGTTGAGAAAAACAAAAGTTTTATTACACTTATTTTTTCTAGCTCACACTTTCTGTTTTGTGTCCCTCCAAGACTTAGTAGCTAAGAGCTTATTTGGATGTGCTTTTAAAATGACTGAAAGCGTTTTTAGAGAAAACATTTTTGGGTTTCAAAAGCACTTTAAGTGTTTTCTGCAAGAAGCACCAGTTACGTGATTCTTTCAGGAAGCACCTTAAGTGCTTTTTCAGGATTTACTTGCATCTTTACTAATGATTGGTTCTAAAAACATTTTCACCAAAAGCGCTTTCAATTATTTCAAAAGCACATCCAAACGAGCTTTAAACTTCTTTGGCGAGCAAAGGATTTTGGGCAGTTCTGACGTACTGTCCAATTAATGTGAGAATTTTTAATTATTGTAGTTTTGTGTAATATTCATCCTTACTTAGGATGGGAACTTTTCGTATATTTACTGCACCATTATTATAACAATTGCAATTTACATTCCGTACTGCGCACTCTCATCAATAGTTTTAAGTTTCGGTTTTGATTTATTCACACTTTTTATTTTCATGATATGGTTTCGTTACTTTTCATTTGTCAGCTATCGTACCTTCACTTTGGTGGATATCCGGGTCGGGTGGTGTCAGCAGGAGAATCAAGTGTTCGAATGTGAGTATAAGTATAAGGGTATTTAGGCTAGGTAGTTTTGAATTATAATATCTTATCGATGCTTTAAATCACTTTTGACTTGACAAGGCAATTTGTGAAATTGTTATATAATCATTCATGGTGTTGTGTATGGATCTTTTTAAGATTTTTGTTTAAGCAATTGGTTGAATGATGATCATGTTATACATTATGTGGATAAGTAGAATCAAACAATTTTGGCTTTGTTTTGTCCCAATTGACCATGTCTCTAGTGAAGTTGTAATTCATTTTGATGCTTGTAAATCAAATTGTACTTCGACTAAGCAATTTGTTGAATTATTAATATATTACTTATTGTGTTTGAGTAAGTGAAGGTTAGCAGAACTTGTTGTTAATTGAAGCTTAACATTATTATCGTTAAGTTTGTCCAGATAAGTAGGAGCGAATAACTTCGGTTTGCTCTATAAGTAAGTTCACACTGTTATACATACATATTGGGCATCAATAAGCTTAAGCCAATTATGCGTTATGTATATTGAGAGTAGAAACTTACTATTGTAGTCGACAAAACTTCATCTTCCTCGATTCTTTAAAGATCAGATTTATTCTTACATGCAATGAGCATGATTTAATTTTCTTTAGTTTGAGAAGTCAAAATAGCCAAAAAGCCCTAAAACCTGTGGGACTTTGTTCTTCAAGAAAAAAATAAGGAGGGATTATGGTAAGCAGTTATTTGAAGCGCATGTTCCACCAAGGTGGCTGTTTTGCATTCTGATTTCTCTCTCAGCTCTTCTTACATGATCGATGCTTTTATCTACGTACTCACCCATGAATAATGCTAAAAAGAGAAAAACTCATACTATAGATATATAGCACCTTATGTTTACACATTTTCCTAAACCCTAACCCTAATTCGACAACCCTAACCCTAATTTTGTTAACTCTGAATGGTGGCAGCTGGCAGTGCATGGTGGTCCACTAAGGGACTAGAGTGGTTTCGGATCCATCCTAACAACTGTGTAAAAAAATTTCTAGCGACATGAAAAGAATATGAATTATCCTTGTGAATAAGTTAAGTCAAACGACATCATAGCTTATATTTTTCTAACAGTTTTGTTTACTTTGGCTTTGCGGTTTCTTGAAACTCAAGAATGAGGTTTTAAAATCGACTTTAATGTTATTTCTAAAGCAACCTAATCAACTATTATTTGCAATCCTTCTCTTTGCCCTCCTTTTTTTTTTTTTTTTTTTTTTTTATTTTTTATGTCAAACGATTCAAACCAAATTTCTTTGTATTTTTGTTCATATAGTTTCACATTTTTTACTAGTTACCCTGGTCTCTACATCCTACTTAGTTGTATTATACACTTTCTTTGATTCTCTCTATTAAATTTAGCGGATCTTTAATTTTGTGAAGATTATTTCAATTGCTCATATTACAAGTTCACAATTTTTTCTCAATACATAATGAAAGGCCCTCTCTCACAAAGAATTCTGGCTCAGCCATTGTGGCAGTGCCATGATTGCGCAATTTTCCCATGCTAGGGCTAGCCTATTTGCTGATTTCAAACCAAAGAAAAAAAAATCTGATACCAAAGAGTAATTTCTCTGATCACTTAGTTTAAAATCCTGAAAGCAACAAGGTGGGACATGATTTTATAGATGAAGTGGATTTGGAAGAGTGGGTAACTTATGCTACTAATAATGGCAGTAGTATAATTGCATGATGATAACAGATAACCACTTGAAAGCCGCCTATTTGCTGTTTGGTATTTGGTTCGTGATGCAAATTATAATTGTGCTACTGATTAAAGTAGGGTGGTAAGTACAGCGAAAGAAGAATTCTTCATGATGTGAGAACCGAGAAGTGTATATAATGTAGGAACGAGGCTTCCAAAGGCTTGCTTTGCGGACAAGAAGCCAAAATTGCAAAGTTGATTTGACACAACCACAAAACCTACCTACTTGGCATGGTCGCCTTCTTGCCATGCATATGGGACCATTGCATACAAATTAAGGATCACTTTCACTCTTTTGAGGACTTTTAAAAGATTGAAAATATTTTTAGATAAAATATTTTTGGAACCAAACTTTAGTAAAATGCAAATTAATTCCGGAAAAACACTTGAAGCGTTTCCAGCAAGATGTACATAACTGGTACTTTTTAGCATGAAGTTTTTCAAGTGCTTTTGGAATCTAAAAATATTTTTTCTAAAAGAGTTTTTAGTCATTTAAAAGTATTTGTCGAACAAGTCCTAATTCTCTTTTCGATTGGCCAACTACATTTTACCCAATTGGTTGTCTATCATTATCGTTACCATAGTAGCTAGTGAGCTTTTTAAAACCCGAAGGAAATATAGATGTGTAGTGGGAGGAAGACACAACAAACAAAACACCCATAGAGGTTCAGGAGATCCTCTACTCATCAAGTTCTTTTCACTTCGTAGTACCCCACCATGTTGTGACGAGTGCAAACAAACTGCAAGTGTCACTAATTATTTATCAAGTTCTTTTGATATGGTCTCTTGATTATATATATATATATATATATATATATATTCATATGAATTACATATGATCATCAGATGATGATTGTATTAAATACATGTTACTTTTGTAGCCAATAATATTAGCAGAAAAAAATAAAAAACAAAAAGTTGTTTGTATATTATATGTTTGATTGTGTCAAATGATCTGATATTTACAAATTTACTTAAGTTACCTGCAAATAACACAACCCCAACACACTTGCACCAACATCTATGAAGATATGAAGATAATTCTTTGGCATTGCATCTGAGGAAAAGGCCGACTGCAGATTAAGCGAAGGACCACCCAAAGCAGCCTAGCAGTTGCTAGTTAGGGCAGATGTTGCAGCCTTTGACACAAGGATGTACTTTGCTTGCTGAAACTTGATGACATCAAAGAGTATA